GCAGGAAATGTTAAAAATAGTGTATATACTTGTTGCAAAAATGGAGCTAAACAATTTATTAATAAAAGAGATTTGACAACAATATATACAGTAAGAAGTGAAATGTAGTATCTTATAGTTAATTCAAAACACCACCCTGATTTTCAAATGACCACTCAGTAATTTTTATTTTTCGATAACAAATTCTTGTTAACTAGTGTACTAAAAATGTTAAAAATAGTGTATATACTTGTTGCAAAAATGGAGCTAAACAATTTATTAATAAAAGAGATTTGACAACAATATATACAGTAAGAAGTGAAATGTAGTATCTTATAGTTAATTCAAAACACCACCCTGATTTTCAAATGACCACTCAGTAATTTTTATTTTTCGATAACAAATTCTTGTTAACTAGTGTACTAAATTCTAAATTAATTTCTTATCCATTTTTTGAAAGATTTCCAGTGCATGTAAATGTGAGAGATTGTGATTCTTTAACGTTTTGAATTGTGTTGATGTCAGATTAACCAGAGTTGCTGAACTTAGAGCAAAACATTCACCAAATAGTGATGCATGATCCTAATTACCATTACAGAATAATAGAGAGAAGCATTATGAATTATTGAATGGGGAAGGATTTCTGAAAACTATTTGGCTCAACATGATTCTCAACTGTTACAATAAAATTTGTCAAAATGCACAATTAATATTACTAGGATATTGTGGAAAATTCTGCCCAAACTACATGTATATTGTGACAACTGTCACACTACCCTTCATGCCTCTCTTGTCTGCTCCTCTCTATCTTTTGGTTTCTCAATGCCCCTTCTTTCTCTGCTATTTCTCATCTCCTCCACTGATGTATGTTTACAAAATATACTATCAAAATCCCTCTCAGTCAAATGTTTCTGCTCTGGGATTAAAACTTCCCTTCTCCCATCTACTGAAACAACTGCACCATTATTAAAAGGCCTGGGACAGTCATCGGAGTCTAACAATACAGTCCTTTCAACAATACGGTAGACTTTCCATAAAAATAAGAGAAACAATTAAAGCCTGTTATACTATAGATTATAAACAATAACACTGATCTTTGAGCATCTTTTTGAATTCATTCTCAAAGTTCTGCTGCATTTCATCCCATAGCTACTTAGGAGTACAGTATTCAGAAGCAAGTTAGACACTTGCAAACATCCTGGGACTAGCTCTTATCTCTAGTTTGTTAATGTTTTATAGACAAATCTCTCTCATGTTATATTAACCCTGATAGAGCTGGGGAGACTATTTGTTCCTACATATCAACACTATACAATTAGTGAGTTTTCTGTCTAAAACAGTACCGTCTCACTGCAATGACAGGTTAGTTAAATCTACAATAGATTCTCTAATCATCAGTTCTACCTTGGGGTTTTCAGCTTCACTGGTTGCTAGCTCCTTGTCAATAAGCCCCAGGTTGTGCAAATTCAGAATAGAGTCAGCAATTATCCGTGCTGTCCTCTTCTGGTAGCCTCCAGATGTCACCATTAAGATAGGGATTCGGTGGCTTCTGGCAGCCTTGAACACCACCTCATCTCTTTTAACAATCCCCTGCATATGGACAAAAATGAAAAGTGAAATTCTATAAATGTCACTTAGTTTATATTTTTATGGATTTTTTTACTTATCATTGATGCTTTTATAGTCTTATATTCATGAGAAATCACCATTACGTGAGCTACATGTTTGCAATAGGAATACAATGAAAATCTGTTGATATTATTTAAATATCCCTCTAGAAATATCTCAAACATTATGCTTTGGCTTTCTGTATAAGAACTTTTCAAAGACAAGTCATTATTTGTATTACAGTGGTAAGTAGAGGTCACAACAGATTGGGGCCCCCTTGTGCTAGGTACTGTGCAGACTCAAAGCAAGATAGCTCTTGCTCAAAGAACACACGGACATGGAGGTGGGAAAACGAAGCATTATGCCAATTTAACAGATAAGGAATTGAGACAGTAAGAGATAATAGCCTTGATTCAGACAGGCATGCAAGGATACTTAATTTCAGAAGGATTAGTCACATTCTTAGGATCAAGCAACTTGCCCATGATCCTATATGATATTACTAGTAGAACTAGGAACTCAATCCAGATCTCAAGTCCAAGTCCTATGTCATAACCACTGAGCTCCTTGCTCGCCCTTTAAAAAGGGTATAATATTACTGCAGTAAGAACCTATGCATGGACTGTGCAGTTGAATTGGGTATTTAATGACCCAGACAGTAGAGAATCCAACAAGAGCATCAATCCAGATCTGTTACTTTCTTAAGAAAACATTCAAAAACATGAGAATAATAGGAAAAACTAGTGATCAAGTGCGTCAATGCCATCACCAAATTCAGAAAAATAAAGAATACCCATTTTTTACTACATGCAACAGAGAAGTAAAATGTATTAAGTTTCAAGAAACCACCTTTGGGAAAGGGGGAATTCAAAATTACTTAATGAGAAAAATTAAAATCCACAAATATGAAGTAAGAGCAATCTAAAAAACAGTCTCTAAGGTGCCATAGGACAGCACAATAAAAGTTCAATCAACTCACTACAACTACTCTCCAAGAAAATAATTCAAAGAAGAAATGTAGTTTCACAAAGGACAGTTCAAATATCAAAAAGTTAAAATTATTATTAATAGAGAAGGCGAAAGGAACTAAACAAGAATACTGAGAATCACTTAATCGTAGGAAGATAAGGGACCAAACGGATGTCAAGTGAGTCTGTGCTAGATAAAGGAGCTAAGAAAATAAGAAGCTCCCTTACAAATTTATCAGGGAAAAATACCAGAAAAAATTAGAAAAAGGAAAAAGAGGTGAAATGAATATTTAAATAGGCCTATTGTTAACTATTTAAAAATCTGTCTAAAGTTTGTTTGTTTAAATGGTACCATATAATGACAAAGTGTTCAACCAAGAATAGTGAGATGGACTTAAGCCTAAAAACTTAGGATCAGTGTAGCAGATTCTTAAATGAAATAGCAGAAGTTTCAGCACAGGTTACATTTTAGAAATGACTGGACTAAAATGTAGAAAAATAGACTATAAGGAAAAATTCTGAATTTGCAAAAGGATGAGCTAAAGAACCTAGCAATTATAATTCTGTGATTCACAGAAATCATAAAACACAGCCTTAATAATTTATCGAATGCCCATACAAAAAGAGGATTCTCATAGAAAAATAAAATACAGGCAGTCCCCGGGTTACGTACAAGATAGGGACTGTAGGTTTGTTCTTAAGTTGAATCTGTATGTAAGTCGGAACTGGCGTCCAGATTCAGCCGCTGCTGAAACTGATCAGTTTCAACAGTGGCTGAATCTGGAC